TGAGTAGAGAAGGAAGAAGTAGAATAGGGTAATTTCACATGAAGAGGCACAGAGGAGGGGAAGATGTGAGGGTGGGTGATGGGCATAATTTGAACCTTACTCTCATCAGTATTGGCTTAAAAAGGGAATAATATACACAATCAGTTGAATTTAAGAATCTGTCTTTCCAGACAGGGAAGTAGGAGGGGAGGAGATAAAGTAGAAGGGGAGGGACTGACAGAAGAGAGGGCAGATTGGGGGAAGTGGTTGGCAGAAGCAAAACACTGGTGAGGTGGGAAGGGGTGAAAGGAGAGAGAGGACAAACAGGAGGAAAAATAGGATGGAGGGAAATACACAGATACTAATCACAACTGTGAATGTGAATGGGATGAACTCTCCTATAAAACAGAAGTGGATGGCAGAGTGGATCAAAAACCAGAATTCTACAATATGTTGTTTATAAGAAACACACTTGAAGCAGAGAGACACACACAGAGTAAAGGTAAGAGGCTGGAGCAGAATGTATTATGCTATATCTGAAGTTAAAAAAAAAAAGCAGTGGTAGCAATCCTGATTTCAGACAAAGTAAAAACAAAAATAGATCTGATTTAAAGAGATAAGGAAGGAAACTACAACTTGCTAAAAAGTACCATAGACAATGAAGCAATATCAATACTAAACACATATACACCAAGTGGTATAGCATCCAGATTCTTAGAGAGGAAGTTAAGGGGGTTATAGGCATCATAAAATATAAAATAGATACATTTTGATTATATTAAAATAAAAAGCTTTTGTACAAACAAAACCAATGCAACCAAGATTAGAAGGAAAACAGAAACATGGGAAACAATCTTTACAACAAGTGTCTCTGATTAAGGCCTCATTTCTCGAATATTTAGAGAACTGAGTAAAATTTATAAGAATACCAGCCATTCCCCAGTTGATAAATGGTCAAAGGATATGAACAGTTTTCAGATGAAGAAATCAAAGATATTTATAGGCATATGAAGAAGGACTCTAAATCACTTTTTATTAGAGAAATGTAAATTAAAACAACTATGAGGTCCTACCTCACACCTGTCAGATTGATTAATATTACAAAAAAGGAAAATGATAACTGTTGGAGAGGATGTGGGAAAATTGGGACACTAATGCATTGTTGGTGGAGTTGTGAACTGATCCAACCATTCTGAAGAGCAATTTGGAACTACGCCCAAAGGGCAACCAAACTCTGCATATCCTTTGATCCAGTAATATCACTACCAGGTCTGTATCCCAAAGAGATCACAAAAAAGGGGACAGGACCCACATGTACAAAAATATTTATTGCAGCTCTTTTTGTGGTGGCAAAATATTGGAAATTGAGGAGATGCCCATCAATTGGGGAATGACTGAATAAGCTGTGGTATTTGAATGTAATGGAATACTATTGTGCAATAAGAAATGATAAACAGGTAAATTTCAGAAAAACTTGGAAAGACTTGTCCAAACTGATACAAAGTAAAATGAGCAGGACCAGGAAAACATTGTGAACAGTAGCAACATTGTGGGATGATCAACTATGCATGACTCAGCTGTTCTCAGCAGCACAATGATCCAAGACAAGTACGAAGGACTCACAAAGAAAAATGCTGTCCATTTCCAGACAAAGAAATGATGGACTCCGATTGCAGATCGAAGCATATTTTTTTTTCATTTGCTTTATTCTTTTTCATGGTTTTTTTTTCCCTTTTGATCTGTTTCTTCTTTCACAACTATAACTAATACGGAGCTGAGTTTTACATGGTAGCGCATGTATAACCTGTATCAAATTGCCTACTGTTTTCAGAAGAGGGGGGGTAGTGAGGGAGGAAGAAAAATTTGAAACTCAAAATCCTGTAAAACTGAATGCTAAAAAATTGTCTTAACCCGTAATTGGGGGAAAAAAAACAAATGCTATCAGATTACATGTAGTCAAGGTCTGGGGTCTCTTGTAACTCTACTACATGATCCAGTATAAATAAAAATTATACTGAACTTTTAGCTGACGTATCCTATATGCCACTTGCACACTTCATATATAAGATGCTGAAAATTCTGTCAAAGATTCTTCAACTGACGTTTTTATTTTTAATTTGTCAGTGTGCATGGAGGGGAAAAGGCAGAGTGTTGGCAAGGGTTGTCAGAATATAAAAAGAAATTTTTTTTTCTAGAAAGATACAAAGTTGTTCTCAAAAGAGTGATACGAGGAGGTATGGAAAAGATTAAAGACCATTTTGCAGAGTTAACTGAAATGCTATAAACCTGAAACAGGACCAAAAACAAAAACAAAAACTGAGGTTCCATACAAGCCTGAGCCAGAAAAACTTCACACACTGATTTGTACTTAGAATACAGAGTTGAAACTTCTGTGGAATTTCACTGCCCAGGCAGTTCATTATGTACTGTTACACTAATGTATAACTATTAGGCTAAAAAATGCCCAGTAAACTAAGATATTAGTGACTGATATGTGCTAAATGTGCTATCTTTAAAAAGGTGTTTGTTTTCCATCACAACTGAACCTCTTAACCCAAAGAAATAAATCTCTTTTGGCAGAAACTTCACACATCATGATCACACATGATTACAGCCAGTGAGAGAAATATTTGGGGCCACAAAGGTCTCCATCAAGCCACACCCCTATAGGCAACTGTTATCTATTTAATCGTGACTTTCAGAGTCAAGGCTATCCATAGAAGCACATTCTTTTTTTTTTTTTTTTTTTTGTTTTTGTAGCTTCACTAGCATTATCTATATATCACAGATTTAACAGAACTGGTTAAAATGTGGTCATACAACAAAGCCTGCCTCTTGACACTAAATCAATGTACTGGGTTTCATGAGTAAGTATGCTGCTACTAACTCACAGTTGGGTATGACTTGAGTTGTCTAAGCAACATGACTGAGATAGAGACAGCCCAGGACCTTGAGTTGAAGAATATTGGGAATAGCCATCCCCCTACTCCACTATCATTAGACTTACTTCAAGCACAGCCCACATCTCTGTCATTGAGGGGAGAAATCATTACGGAGAGAGGACCTATCTGGCTCATTACCTCCAAAAAAAAAAAACTGCTGATCAACTGGCATTAGCCATCAGATGGGCACAGGAACCCTGGGAGTTATGGTACACACACCACCAGTCCCACTTCTAGCCTCACCGATCTCACAGTCATCATCTAGAGAGGAGCAATTTCTATGGAAAAGGAGCCAGACATCCCCACCACTGCCACACCCAGAACAGACTAACCAGCCTAACTAAAGCAGCAAGGCCCCCTGAAGAAGAGAAAGAAGGCAGGACATGCTAGGCAAGTCAAACCACTACCTCCTCCCCTCCCACCACCATGACCACCATCTCCTCCCAGATCCTGATGAAGGTAGCCCAGGAGCCTGAACTCAGGAGCCTTCATCCTGGTAAAGCAATCCCTGTGGAATCTTAGCCTGGCAGATGCTCCTGCAGCTGCTCCTACATCCACAAAACCCAAGACCCAGAAAGTTCTTGTCACCAAAGTCGTTGGCATTGTTATAATGATGGGATGATTTCTGAGATAGCCCTTTCCAATAGTATTCATTGTTAGGAAGTTGTTTCTTATATGAAGCCAAAATGTACAGAAGTATAATGTATATGGGACATCTAAGTGGCGCAGTGGATAGATAGAGTGCCAGTCCTAGAGCCAGGAAGACTCATTTTCCTGAGTTCAAATTTGGCCTCAGACACTTACTAGCTGTGTGACCCTGGGCAAGTCACTTAACCCTGATTGCCTCATATGCACACACATACACACACACACAAATACACACACACATACAAAGAGTATAAAGGGGGCTGGAGACAAAAAGTTAGAGAAAACTAATTCTTTATATCATAATTTGGAGTCTTCTTACCATTCTCATCTTATAATTTTCAACTTAATGTCCTTCCTACAATGTAGTATCCCAAACTGGACACAATACTTTAGATATGGTCTTATCAGGGCAGTGGGATTGTCACATCTCTTACTCAAAATATTACATTTCTGCAAATGCAGCCTAAGGATTATTAAGATTTTAAAATTTTTTACTTAACAATATTGTGTTATACTGAACTTATAATCTACAAAATCCCCCAACTCTTTTCTACTTGAATGATGCATACTTTTCTCTTCCCATTTTGAACACATAAACACACACAAATATACACATGTGTATGTATATGTATATATTGCTTAGGGGCAGGATTATCTATTTGTTGTTAGTAAATTTCAGTTTATTGGTCATAGTTTCAGCTTGTTTAGAATGCTTTGGGAATCCCAGTTCTGCTATCCATTGTATTTTCTAATTCTCCTAGCTTTGTGTCATCCACAAATATGATAAATTTGTGTCCCAGCCCCATGAGTGGACACATATAGCAGCATAAATAAGGTGGACCTAACCAGTATGGGGTTGTTATCACCTTCAACAGTTTATTCTTTGGCAAAGAAACTATAAGGAAAAGATGATTACGCCTAAAGATCACTGCTACTGTAGTAGAGGGGCTGTGTGATATGATAGAAAGAGCACTGAGCCAGAATCATGAGCCCGAGGTTCATATTCCAGGTCCACCATTTCTTCATTCTGAGATCAATTTAACCCTTCTGGACCTCGTTTTCCTCATCTATAAAATAAGGAAGTTGAATTATCTGATCTTTAAAGTCCTTTCCAGTTCTAAGATTCTGTGATAATTTTTCATCTCCAGGTACTGTTTTGTAATATAGTTGGTTGGTAAAATTGCTATTACTGAATCTACTGCAAAGCAGGAAGAATGGGTCTGGGTGTGTGGAAGTGGGTGTGATTCTATGAGGTTTTTTTTTTCCATTTCCTTTTGTTTTCATGAAAAAAAAGATAGTATCTCATAAAACAGGGCTAAGGGGGCAGGTTGGGAAGGTAAGTGGTAGTGATATATTTTTTTTTAAATCACGTGCAGGATTTCACTGTATTAAAATGCTTTAAATTGTTCTTAAATGTTTTCCTCCATACAGACGCAAAGAAAATCAATGGAATATAACTGTCACTAAAAGAAGTGAGCATGGTTGTTTTCACCCAAAATATTTAATGACTAAAGAAGTAGAAGTTGGGAAATCCTTAAGCATAAACTGTACCCATGATTACTACCAGACAGAGGCCTATCAAATATCTTTATTTAAGGTAACAATTATTGAAAAGTTTTGTTAAGGACTAACGGGGGAGACACAGTTCAAGAAAGGCTAGTCTCTTTGTAATGTATTGCTTCTGTTCTGTTCATCTGTAAAGTTCATTAATAGTTATAGGGTTCTCAGTGCAATGATTTTTTGTTCCTTTCTTTCATAGTAAATTCTCAATCTCCATTGAGATTTTTTTTAATTGGAGCAAAAGACTTTAGTTTGAATCTGTCTTAGGAGCTTTATAAAGTTGTGAGGAGGATTGATCTGAATATTAAGATCTGAGACAATTTAAATGTTGAGATGAAATTTGCCACAAGGTTTTGGTTTTGCCTTATGTCCATTAGGGATTCAACTCAAGAAAAGTAGTCTTCTTGCAATGGATTGATATTAGATGCCATTGCTAACTAGAAATTGATCAAAAAATGAAAATAGAATCCTTAAAATAAAGTGAAAGGGAAAATTTGATTTGCTTGATGGAAATCCAACTTGCTATAGATAGGAGCAAGGCACCCCTACATATGAAATTGTAGCAATCCTAGAATCCCAGATCCTTTTCAGGCAGTCAACTTCTGCTACCACTGGTCCATTCTTGCTTTGTAAAGGTAGGTGGGCACTGGGCAGTGGGTTAGTTAGTTGAAGAAATGTGAATAGCATACACCAAATAAGTTTCCAAAACCACATAGTTGGCGTAAACTGGCCTACGTGAAAGAAAGCAGCAAAACGTTTGTAGTGCACACGAGTTCTGTTCCACCACAATCATTCCTCATTGAGGCTCCTACTGGAGAAGGAAGCACTTCTTTCTTTGACTCAGATAGATGAATTTGAGATGAAAGGAATTTTCATGGAGACATATAATTTTGTATCGATGGGTGCAGATACCTCTGATTACAGCATCATCTCCTGAGTATTGCCTGATAGTTTTGGATTTCCTTGTTGTCTTTGGCAGGCCAAGGGAACAAATCCACAAAGAGTAGTCACGCACTACCTTTATCTGTCATCCTTTCCGTGAGAAACAGTGGAATTTCAGCTCAAGTCCATTTTTGGGGTTTGATTTGATGAAAGCCAGTTTGTTTAAGCTAATTTGCTTAATGATCAGCGTGCCTGATACTAGGATTTTTACAGCATTTTAATTGTTTTTTTCCACCTGAGAGATTTTTTTTAAAATTACTTTTACAGTTTTATATCCTGCTAAGAAAGTATTTTTGTATCACATTGTTATGTTTTTTTTTCATTTCTAATTTTGGTTGCTTTTGAAAATTTTAGGCATTTTTAACTAATTTATTTAAGAACATTTAATCTGAATTGCAATGAAAAACTAAAAACACTTATCAAAATAAACATTCAAGGGGTGGCTAGGTGGCGCAGTGGATAGAGCACCAGCCCTGAAGTCAGGAGGACCTGAGTTCAAATCCGGCCTCAGACCAAACACTTGACACGTACTAGCTGTGTGACCTTGGGCAAGTCACTTAACCCTGATTGCCTCACCAAAAAAACAAACAAACAAAATAAGCATTCAATATAGAGTAGTGATGATTTAATCCCTTTTAAATATGTTGGCCCCGTTTTTTTTTTTTTCCTACTGTTTCATCTAGCTTTGAGGCATTATGGGTTAGTGGAAAGAGCAATATGTCTTACTTTGTATGTTCATTAGGCCACTTAGTAGCTGTGAGACTGAGAGCAGGTGGCTGTCTTTGAACCTCAGTTTCCTTATCAGGTCAATAAGGAAGAGATTACTTGTACTAACTACCTTACATGTATGTAGTCCAGAAATTTTATAAATCATAAATGCTCCATCAATTCATAAGCTATCATTATTCATAGGCCTATTAGGACATATCCACTGGTCATTCTTGCTAATAAAACATCATCTACTGGAGAGTAAGCTCCACTGCATTTTATTTATTTATTTTTTTGGTGAGGCGATCTGGGTTAAGTGACTTGCCTAGAGTCACACAGCTAGTAAGCACCATGTGTCTGAGGCTGGATTTGAACTCAGGTCCTCCTGACTCCAGGTCAGTGCTCTATCCACTGTACTACCTAGCTGCCTCTGCATCTTATTTTTTATGATGTTACAAACATAGTGTGATACTGTAT